GAATTATGTGTTGCTCTTGGGGTCCAGGTATTTTCAGCAAGTTCTCCAGCATTACAGTTCAATGGCACAGCTTCTTCTTCATTCAGTTTTTTGGATGATCAAGCTTCCATAGGCATTCATTAACTCTTCTAGCAAGCACACTGGTTTTATTTCATATAGTATTTTTTATTGAATTATGTGTTGCTCTTGGGGTCCAGGTATTTTCAGCTCTGCTACTTTCTAGCATATATGATGGCACAGCTTCTTCTTCATTCAGTTTTTTGGATGATCAAGCTTCCATAGGCATGTCACAGCTTGGAAAACCATGGCCTTGACTGTATGTATCTTTGTTGTCAGTGTGATGTTTCTGAACTTTAATACTTTGTCAGAATCTGTCATTCTCTTTCTCCCAAGTAGCAGATCTCTCTAATTCACGGTTACAGTCACCACATCTATGACTTTTTGAGCTTAGAAAGATGAAAGTGTGTTACTACTTCAACTTCTTCCCCACCTATTTGCATTGGGTTGGCATTTTGTCATAATCTTAGGGGCGTTGTTTTTTAAAAAAATAATTTTCACCTTCAACAAAAGCTTCCTTAACTCTTCCTGCTTCCAGCCTTTTGCATATTTTAAATTTAATTCCAATTTTCATTTCTTCTAGTTCAGCATTTCTCATGACCATAAAAGCTCACAACTGACTCTTAACTAGAGTTAATTTTTGAGAGCTATCCCACTTGTAAAACTCACTTGTTTCAACTATGTAACTATAGTTGAACTATATAAATCTTTACATCATTTATTTCCGAAGAGCAAATAGATCAACTTCGAAAATACGTGATACATTTTTTCAATTATACAGCAAACAGAAGACTTCAGACAGTAATTAGGAAATAATAACTATATTAGTTAATACAAAAATTATTAAATAATAATCAAACAACGTTTAAATAATTTTATTTTGGGAAGGAGTTTCTGAGATAGAAAAGGAGACAAGCACAACAACCCAAAAGAGAAAAAAATGGAGAATTTTCATTTCTCAGTTATACCAGCTTACTCAAATTAAATTTTAATACTTTCTACACATACTGTTCTCAGCTACAGGACGCAATACTTAAAAAAAAAAACAACCCAAAGTTTTCTATGGCTGCAATTATCTACAAGACATAGTAGATTTGTAGTGGCCATATAATAGCCTTATTCAACATTGATAAATTTGTACTGACAGAAGCATTAACAGATTAATTTTTATATCCTCCACAAATGGGTGAACAAGTATTGTTCAACGGGATGACAGAAACTTTGTTTACTCATAAGTAGATTCACAGGAATGTAGTAGGCATTACAATGAGTAATTATACTAAGGTTGGTTTAAATAAACGAAAAACAGACAAGTTTATGTTACTTTAAAATACATACAAATAAAGCAGGGGAGTATCTATTTTTCAGGTTCTTCTGATCTGCTACTTTCTAGCATATATGGTAGAGTTTGCAGTTTTTATCTGGTATGTATAAAATTTTACCACTAATTAGGCAGCATAGATTCACAGGAATGTAGTAGGCATTACAATGAGTAATTATACTAAGGTTGGTTTAAATAAACGAAAAACAGACAAGTTTATGTTACTTTAAAATACATACAAATAAAGCAGGGGAGTATCTATTTTTCAGGTTCTTCTGATCTGCTACTTTCTAGCATATATGGTAGAGTTTGCAGTTTTTATCTGGTATGTATAAAATTTTACCACTAATTAGGCAGCAGAAATGCCTTTTTAATGCATGTGTGTCCTTTGCAGTTGTTTGCTCAAATTATAGCAGATTAATTATTTGGGAAGGTGAGCATTAGAACCCTCAATCAGAGATTCCTTGTGAATAATAACCCTTCATAGACAGACATATAATATGTAATATCAGACAATATTAATCTCAATTCTGATTCAAAGCATATTTATTCAAAAGATGTTTAGAATGGCCATTGGGTTGTCCCTTCCCAACTCTGCTTGGGACTGTAGTCTAACTAAGAAAAAAATATGATCAAGTCTAGAAAACATAAAGCATAAACCTGTATGAGTTACTGGTGATTTTCATTCTGTTGAAAGGGGGAAAACTCATTTTAAAATACTACATATAAAAGTTTGTTTGTTGTTTTTGTTTTCAGCCTATTTCTAGAATAACACATTAATCAGTTGCTATAAAAATAGCATCACATTAGGGCTGTGCAATGGGTTAGGCCTGATCTGGAAGAGGTACTTTGGAATGTGCAGAAGCAGAAACACAACACCTGTCAGAGCCTCATTAAAACAACCACGGTGGTTTCCCCAATCCCCGGTTGAGGCAGATGGAACCGTAACGAGTCACAGAGAGGTGCGGTATTCGTGCTCCCCTGTATTCAGAAGTGTATCTTTCAAACTGAATACGAAGCACTGCACAACCCAAATACATACATCTGAAATCATCTCACTGGCACATACATTCTGAGCATTTTTGAAAAGATCACAGAATTTTAAAAATGGCTCAGGTTTATTTCCTTTCCAGGTTACTTCCTTCCAGAGAGAAAGAACTATTGAGGATGGTAGTGGAACAGAATGCTTTTGTGCATATTCCACTGTAAGATCGTATTCACTGTAAAATTATATCACTAAAATTGTTTCCCCACATAGAAAAACTAATGGCCAAATGTAGCTGGTGTTTCTAATTTCAGTTACAGACCATGAGATATTTTTAGATTGTGCAGATTCCTTACAGCCTAGAATAAGCCTAGAATCCAATACCAGTGTTGATTTTCTAGACGGGTAGGGGAGTTCATGTTTTTGTCTTCAGCATAAATCCTGATCAATTTATAGCACATCAGCTTTTGGGGGGGAAAAAAGCCTTGATCTCTTAGGTTCACAGGATAATGCTGGACCAGCCTTTTTGAAAATGCTACTTTCCAAGGCACTTTAGCTATCTTTGACGCTGACTCCTGTCTTCAGTAATCAGCTACAGTTGAACAATTACAATTTACAATTTACACTTACAGTTCAGCTATATACTCACTTCTCACAAGCTGAGCAGCACCAGGAAGAACTGTCTGCTGCAGCCCGTGAGGCAGCAGACATGCGACAGGATGTCAGAACGAATGCGTGTTTTTTTCCTGCTTTAATCTGGAGATCTCAGATCCAGCGCCAAAGATGGATACCTTGGCAACTATTGAACTAAATCCATCCTAATATGAAGGAGTTAACATATATGAACTACAGCTTTTCTATTTACAGTGTCTGCTTTATGAAGAAGAGAAGAAGAAAATAACATGCAACAGGCTGGGATGTCCAGAAAACGGCACTAAGAAAGAGACGCGGATGCGACATCCAAGACTTAACGGAAATGCTTGTCTGGGGTTATTATTTCTCCCTGAGTAGATACCGCCTCGGGTTTTCTCTGTGAATTGAAATGCATAGAGTATAATTCTTCCATTTTTTTTTTCTGCATAAGAAGAGAGAGGGCCACTGAACTTCAACAACTGGATTTTTTTCTTTAAAACAATGCACTATAGATTTTAAAACCGTTTTCCATCCCACAGCTCCAATCTTTCAATTTCCGTCTACAAAGATTTTATACTGATTTCTAGACAGGATGAAATTTAGTCCTAAAATTATACTATAAAAATAGGCAATGCCAACTTATTCCTGAAAGTAAGCCTCTAATTATATGAAAGATAATTTTTCTACTTAACTTTATACTGAAGCAACAAAATTGCATTTGGGAAAAGAAAAGCTAAGGAATTAAAAATAAAATGTAGGCTATGAATATATAAAAACCTTCAACTCTGATGCTGCTGCTGGTGTTTATTTTAATACTTTATTACTTCATTATATTACTCTACAAACCCAGCTTTGTCATACTTAATATTGCTTTAAATATTTTCCAAGGACTTACTACCCTACAAAACATACTGCTCACAACTGAAGCAGAATACCCTATAATAAATTTAGTTTTCACTGTGAAAAGAGGCTAGTGTTAAGTATGAAATGGCATGAGGTCACAACGTGGCCATCCTAATACATGACTGCACTAAGATCTCACTTCCATTATCAGTTTACTTAATCAGCAGAATCATGTAGTAATGCTTATTGTGAAATATACCAACATGTGACTGTAGATTTCCAGAGAAGTCTGACCAAATACTGCCCAGAATATAATTACAGCAAATGTCTTTTTCCCTGCCAAACATACATTTTACCACCTATATCCTAAAATTGTACAATCTGGGTCAAGAGTCTGCTCTGCTGATTTAATACACTGACCCTAATAATTCCCAGTCATGTAAAAGACAAAATGCCCAACTCATATTTTACTACAGGAAAATCAAGCTTAGTACCATTATTGTGGCTATTTAGTTATGGAGCTAACAGAAGAATGTAGATACTCAGTGGGTTATTTGTCCAACATACCATATTCAGAACTTAACTTATAGAATATTTGGTAAATGTCATTATTAACCGTATCTTAATTATATTAAATACTGCCTTGTTGCTACATTTATTCACTTATATAAAAATGTGGTCAAAAAAGAAAAAAAAACTTTTCTTTCTAAAAATTGAATTTCAAAGATTATCATTTAAAAAAGCTCCCAGAACCCAAAAAAAATAAAAATAAAATCCACAATTCTATGCTGATATACAAATGTGCATTGGTCCTATGAAAATAAATGCCTCAATCATAAAATAAAAACAATAAAAAAGTTACAAGTCTGCATTCAAATACATACAACTAAAAAGTAAACTCTCTTAAAAGGTCCTGAAATGTCTTGGTCATAGAAAATATGGACAGGAGAAATGTTACAGGAGACTGGGTGTTTAGCCAGTGTCATGAAGTGCGGGCTCCGATTCCGTAATTCAGCGGTGAGCAGCATATTTTGAAGACCAGTCAATCCTTCCGTGCACTGGTTGAACAGGAGGTGGGGGTGGCAGCAACCCTGGTGTGCTTTTCATAGACATATTAAATGATGGCCTCCCAATGTGAGGTCTGATAGTCTTCAGAGAACTGTATTCTACAAATGAAGAAGAAAAATATATAAAAGAGAGCAATTTAAGGTGACAATCAGATGTAGAACTGGTTACTTTGACTAAAGGATCCTATTTCAAATTAAAGCATTGGATTCAGAATTCTGCGAATGGAACAAGACACTGTTGGGTCTTGGTTCATCCAAAATCTACTCAGATTTTGGCAGCGTTCTTCCCAATACAATACAGTTGGAGGGGTGATACGCCATATCAGAATGGGAAACAGGGCAGAATAGGAAACGGTAGGAAATAGCTCCCCTCCTTAGGAGAATAATTTAATTGGAAGGGAAGCAAAATGCTGGGTGTTTTTTATTAAAAACTGCAAAAATATGGTAGTGGTTTTATCTTATCTGCATGTTGGTTGCATCCTGTGTGATTGGTGGTGTTGATAGCTCTGATAGGCATCCCATCACACAGCCACTGGTCACACAAGTGTTAGCCTTCAAGGTAGTCCAGACAAGAAGCACCACCAGGAGTATCAGCACTATCTTTATTATAAGGTTACATTAAACAGAATCTTGCAAGACTGAAAGCATTTCTCCCCTCCTCTCTCTTTAGTCTCCGGAAAACTAGGGAGGGTCCCTTCTGAAATGCTTCCCAAGCTTTTCTCCCACCTGCGGATTGAGCTGCTTATCTGGGTGTTAATACACACCATTCAAAAGAGACTATACAAAATCTAAGAAGGAAACAAAAAGACTGGAACACATCCTCTCCAGCAACCAACACCCAGATAGGCAGGGACTAATACCAGACAAACAATCAAGCAGAAAACAATACCCTAATCAAGGAACTACCAAGGAGAAAACCACACCCCTACCAACACTAGCAGGGCAAGCTATTATATGTAAACAGGGAGCAAACCCCACACTCACTAGCACTGATGATGTTACCTAGTCAGGTGATGAAACGTCTGCAAGCAAACAACCAAGCTCAGAGAGCACCTGGGACTCCACAATTCAACCCTGAACTACAGATATTCTCTTCTATTGGAAGAGAACATTGTTCCAGCTATGTACAATAGCTTAAGGCACAACAGAGCATCCAATATGAGCATCTATATTTCTTGTTGGAGTTGACTGTCTAACACAGCAAGACAAAAATCTCCAAAAGAAAAGATCCCCTCAAAGCAGCTACTTCTATTATTAACATGGGACCTGCCTGGCTGGTTCCCCAGTTAACATCCAGCTGAAGCCCAAGGAGCTGTGACCTGTGAGGATTCCCCAAATGAAATGTCACAGATCCTAGAGCAGCGGCTTTACTATCATACTGCACAACATCATTTCCAGAAGCAAACACAGCTTACGAGAGGATGAGTCTGCAGGAGATGGATCAAGAATTGGTGCCAGCTGCACTCTCTGCCCAGCAGAGCCAACTTCTTTTTTCAGAAAGGAAGGGACATAAGCACCCATCAGCCCACTTGATCCTGTGCAGTCTAAAAGACATTACAAAAACGGGGATGCAGCATCAGTGCAGAAGGTCAAGATAAACATACCTTAGGCACCACAGACTACCTGCAATTGTTTATTTAAAGGGAACATCAGTTAATGCCAAGTCAAATTATGTTAGACACCGACATTTATTTAGTATAACTTCAAATGCAATCATTATTTCAACCAGCATAATAAACCCCAATCTTACATATTTTTGAGATAGATTTTAAAGATATTTTCTTATTACCCCATGAAAAAATACTTCATGCAATCAACCTCTGAGGTGACACTATCCCCGCTACTTTCATTAAAAAGGATGCTTATTGGAAGGCATTTTCCTTGTAAAAAAAACCCTGCCCACATGAAAGGATGTCATAGAGATAGCTTCCTTCTCTCTGACCAGTTCACCGAAAGCAGCAACCTATATGAAATATAATACAATAGTGATGGGCAAAGATTGTACCACATCCAGCAAACTTGTTGAACTCACAGGAAAGGGAATTCTGTTAATAAAATAAAAAAGAAGTGGTTTTTGTCATAATGATCTTAAACACCCAATTAACAGGAAATCAAAGACAGAATTATTAGGAAGAAAGTACCCATTGGACTCAGTCAGACTAAGAATGCATTTAAGATCTTGGTTCAGGGATCTTTTAGAAGTGTCCCATTCAGAAAACTGGTGGTGGGGATAAAAATGACTTTAGTAAATTCTTCAGAAGGTTTCAGTAATGCTTCTTACTGGTGTTCAGCCTGGTTATCCCGCTCGCTGTTGCAGACGTCTTTCTAGGCAAACTAGAACTTGGCCATGGATTAGGTAGGACAGAATCTTTGCTTGAACTGGAGACCAAATTATTCCTTGTGCTTATTCCTAAGGTCAAAACCAGACAGCTGTTAAAATGCTGCAGAATAGCATATACTGATATATCTTTTTCTATTCTATTTCTGTGCTATTGTAGTTCCCAACTGCTAACTTATTTGCAAATGTTACTGCCCGATTGGCACTGATTATTCTTCTTAGAAGGAATCCAGATGTTTGGACAGTTAATCGGTATAAGCTTTTAAAGAAAAGAAATAGATGTGCTGGAATAATGAAGAAATGGCAAAGTGGGCTGCTCAGAGACACAACTGTGCCACCTTGCCTAGTTAATTTAAATAGCTAGATAGCACAAAAATACTGTGAAAGCTGACCGCTGATTAGTACAAAAGATCTTCCTGTTGCCATCCTCAGTTTCCAACTAGATGATGACTTGCCAATGTCCTCCTGAGCTTTTGGGGGGAAATTTGCTCCAACACAAATGCACAGGATTGCATTCTGTCCAGTTTTGATAGATACAACATTTAGCTAGGATACCACCATGGCTTTGACTGAAAGGCTGTCAGATTGCAGTTGCTGACCTTGTATAGCAGGGTGAGCTATCTTCCACTAGCTAATGACTGTAATTTTTTTTTTTTTTTGAAGGAGGTAGTTAAGAGCCATGATGGAGGGAGATTTCATTGTCTGATTGGGGGGGAGGGGTTGTTCTGCTTTGTTTTGGGAGTGTTAAGCCAACAAAAGTTTACATCCTTTTAAAATGCTTTCTACCAAAAACTGACGGGAAATTCAGTTTCTGTTTCTCAGCTGTTTGTCAGCAAAATTTGGTGGTCTAATTTCTGGGAGCTAAACAAAGGTTAATGTTGCCTGTCTTTTGCAGGCTATATTTTGGCAATTTAGAAAGGGGAAAGGAACACTTGTGAT